CCTTTTCGACACCGCCATCTTTGCCGATTTTTATTTTTTTTTTGGAATTGATAAATGCCCTGAAAATTTATAGATATGTAGTTTGCATAATCAATAACTCATTAATTTATTTTCAAAAAATAATAAAATTTTTCAGGCCCCGAAATAAAGTGAAAACAAAAAGTTAAAAGTGAAAAAATACAAAATAGTGAGTGGGCGAGCACGATTTGACCACCCCCTCTTTGACGATTTTTAATGTTTTTTTGGCTTAGCAGAATGACTTCAAAATATATAGGCGTGTAGGTCACATCATAGAGAACTCACAAAAAACAATTCAGAAAAACAAACTTATTTTTCGGCCCTGAAATATTTTTTGGCGGGGGCCGAACCTGGAGGTGTTCGGCCCCCGAACGGGACCCCGAACGCCCGAACGTTCAGGGCCAGCCAGGGGGGCCCCGAACGGTCGGTCAGGTAACCCTGCTTGTAAGGGTATTCGCACCGACATCGTATCTTGTTTTTTCTCGTTTTTGTCAAGGGTTGGATCTGAATCCCCGAACCATCCACTTTACTTTGTAGGAGTCAATACCCTTAGTACCTCTAAAAGCACCACTCGTGTAGAAATCTTTGTATAGTTGGGTAACCCTCTATTAAACTAAGCCGATATTTGTCTCAATAATGCATAGTACTTTAAGACTTTAAGTTTGACCAAACAGACCCTGATTCATATCTCGACAAATAAAATAAAATTTAAAAATTACCAAGGTGCAAGTTACACCTCCTGATCAAACACACAACAACTTTCAGTCAATCCTACAAACTATAAATTTGGCCAACTCAAAAAAACTAATGGGTTAACTTTGACAAAATTATGAGTATATGAGTCATAAACTTGCATGACGCCCTGAATAAGTGACGTCATGATACAATAATTTTTTTTTTTCTTCAGTCCATAATGAACTTATTGAGTCATCGAAAAGTCACCACTCACATTAACAACATGCGTATTACATAGGGTCACAACATACTCATAATTTGTCTCCGGCTCCACCAAATTATAATATGACCTCATACAGTCTCATAAGATTATGCCAATATATAAAAGGTGTAATCTTTTCAAAATAAGGTCGGACAATTCCACATAGTCTTCTACTTTACTTTAAAAAATAATAATAATAAATTATATCATAATCTCTACATGCTCCTGATACCCCCGACGGTCAAAGAGAGTCACGGCATGGCTGATTTTTGTCATCACGTCAGTGAATAGGTTGTGCTATGCTATAATCGAGTTACGCCGGAATTGTATTTTACGATGAAAAATCATTTTATATTTTTCTTAAAATAAAATGAATATGGCGATTGCTTCTGCACTGATTGTTTTATTGAAATAATTATTATAGCACTGTTATATATATGATTGTAATCTTAGCAAAAAGACGATAGAACACATGTGTATATCATATCTGAGTGCAACCTTACTTTGCAGGTGGTGGAATACCGGTGTATAATACTGTATATAATGTCTGAGTGAAACCCTACTACGGTCATCATCATTGTTACCCCTGTGAACCCTCAGAGGGGGGTTGGAACCCCGCCCCTTGAACGACCATGGAAGCAGGCCGAACTCGGGCAAGGATTCCGATCAGGGGATTGGGGTCCACTAAACTCCTTTTCATACTTTTTTTAATAAATAGAGCATAACATATAGGTCTAACCTTAAAATTTCAGTGCATTTCGTGAAGCAGGATAAAAATAAAAATCGCAAAATTTGGGGGGGCAAATCCCCCCCCCCCTTCGTTTTTGTTTTTTTAAATAATAATAATAATAATAATAATAATTATTATTATTATTATTATTTAACGTCATGAATCAGTCAATGATTGCAGTTGATTAGTTGATTGATTGATTGATTGATTGATTGATTGATTGATTGATTGATTGATTGGTTGGTTGGTTGGTTGGTTGATTGGTTAGTTGGTAATCTAATTGAGTGCTTTCTGTTGGGGAGGAGAGTGGCGTGTGCACACACATACACACACATGCGAGTGCGCGTGCGCCACTTTTTTTTTTACTCTTTGATTGATTGGTTGCGGGTGTCACAAACCCCCGCACGCAAACACACACGTGTGTGCGCCACATTTTTATTTTATTTTATTTTTGATTGGCTAGTTGATTGGTTGGTTGGTTGGGGAAGTGCCACCCCCCCCCCACATACGCACACACATATGCACATGCTCGTAAACGTTTTTTTTATTATTATTATTAATTGATTGATTGATTGATTGATTGATTGATTGATTGATTGATTGATTGATTGATTGATTGATCGATTGATTGGTAGAGGGGGGTCGCCACCCCCCCGAGCATACACACACAAACATACACTCGCACACACACACACATAGCGGGGGGGGGAGGGGGGGCGTTCGGCGGGGTATTCACATCAACCCTCTATTTTATTTTATTTTTTCTAAACTATATACATAAAGAATGCATCCCCTATCACCTCCTTTTCCTAAAATAACCCTAAAAAAAAAAAAACAAAAAAAAAACCGACCTTCGATTGAAACATTGGCTTGGGGGGGGGTAGACATTGTGATTGTTAGAGTTGTCATGTTCAGCCAGGGCTGAATGCGGGCAACCCTGGTCATCATGGGCTTGAGGGTATTTCTTTAGGGATGTCGTTTTGACTTTGAAAATTGTCATTTTAATATTTATATTTTTAGTTTGGGAATGATGATTATATCATGGGCATTATGGTCTTATAGGAGCATCAAAATGTTTATGTGTAATTAACGTAATACATAAAACAAAAAAAAAACAAAAATTTTGAATTTGCTATATTGATCACATATTGACATATAGATGGAAAAAAATATTCAGAGGAAAAATGTTGACTAATTTAACAAGCAACATATTATTTCTACTTCCATGATCACCACTAATACAACTACGATCACGATAACTATTACTGCTACTACTACTACTACTACCACAACCACTTTTACTACTAACTTAACACAATAGTGACTACCACTATTTTTACCTTAATCATGACTAGTACAATAGTAGTACTACTAAGACAATTTTTACGACTACCGCTACGACTTCTACGAGTACTACTACTAACACAAGTATTGTCCAACACAACAACTACTACTACGAGCATTATGAACTTGAAAGTTCTAAGTAAAGCAACACTAAACCAATTAAACTCTTGTGTGTCAATTAAAAACATATAGAAGTGGGTCAATAGGTCAACAAGGGCACAACCTATAAGGATGGGGACAACTTATGAAGGTTATACGAAATTGTTTCTTGTGGGACCCTATCTTTTCTTCAAGGTGTACAAGAGTGCTATTGTGAATGGTAGTAAAAAAAAAAAATTCTTGTATGGTGTTGTCGTGGTGCTCTTAACAGAACTCCACAACATTTGTCAATGTAGAAGTGAATACAATGATGAAAAAATAGTTCCACGCATTGCTAAAGTAATAAAATAAAATAAAATAAAATCCAACCTTGTTGAAAAAACATTCGCATTATAAAATATTCAATCACGAAGAACCTAATATTTAATTTTGCTAAAAGCAATTAATTACAAGAATATATAGTTCTTAACACGTTTGTTGTATTTCATAACCGCAAAAGGACTTCGAAAAGTTGGGTACTTTCCCTGTATTTGGTTCCTTAACGATAGGATTGAGTCCGATGTTAAGACCAAAAGATGGTTTGAGACTGTTGAACAATAATGCATGCAATTTGATGAAAGCTTTCCACTGCATTACTGCAACTACCACTTGTGGAATTGTACTCCATTGTTTTTTCCTGGCTATATTTTCAAAAAAAAATCTATCAAACTAGTACTACCTCTAAGCCTTTGTTCCCAAACACGGATTTGATTTGCGTGCCAAGAAAGAACAAAGCGCTAGCGGCGCATTTTTTTAAATCCCCTCCTTCCCCCCCCCCCTTGTTGCTGCTAACCAATTTGCTATGGTAACACTTTGTATCTAAAAAATGCACTGGCGGTGGAATTTATCACAATCGTTTGCCTGGAAAAAAGACACATCCGATTTTTTTTTCTTAGGCAAATTTTTGTTGCGCGCTAAACAATAATGAACTGGCACGGTGGGCTGAGCCACCAAGGATAAGGCTCACCGCCACATTAGAATAGAACAGATGAGAATTTGTAGGCGTCCATCTAGGTGGTGGTAAGGGCAACCCCTGAATCAAGCCCAAACACAATCTCCCCCTCTCAAAGAGCAAAACAGATTCCTTGAAAGCACACATGCTCTAATCTGGCCTATTTGGCCACTGGCGGGGCCATCGCCCATAAGCACCAGCAGAACCTTTTCCATATTTTGGCCGCGGACCCCTCACCGCAACTTTCGGAGGCCCGAAATGCAACAGGGGCCACTGATGAAATTATCAACAGTGGCCCCGCCCGGAAAGTTGCCTGTGTTAACTGCAGTGGATTTGTTTTTAAAGCCACTGTGGGCTAATGGATGGATTTTCTAACTGAAACGGGCTATTTCGATGTAAAGGGCATGTAGGGGGGCAGGAAATCTAACACTACCTGTAGGAGGGGGGGGCTATGGGGAACGAAGGCACACAAGCGCAGAGAACTACCGTAAAAAGGAGAGAGGGTTAGTGTGAACTTCGGGCCCCGATCCAACAGGGGCTTTTCTGAGCCCCCCTAGAATCTTGCGAAGGGGATAGCTCGGCCCAAGATTGAAACTGTCCCCCAAGGCCTCTGGAGACCGGTGGATAATGTGGCCAGATCGGCCAATCGGGATTTTCCAGCGGCATTGTGCGCATCCTCTGTCATCCAATGGCAGGAAAAGGCGGGTGAAACTCAAATTCGCGGAACTGGTCAGCAAGCGAGCCAGGGGACAAGGGCGGGGTAGGGACGCAGGAGGGGAAGCAGGCAGCGCGCGGAAAGCGGGGACGGCGGGGAAATTTTGGCTGGAGCCCGCTGCCGCTGCCTGCCGAAAGCCGAAGGGATATCGGCGGAAGAGGGACGAGCGGGCGGTTGGTTGGGTGCACGGCAGGTGCGCGCGTGGATAGAAGATAGGGCCTGGCCCGCGGAAACACGCACCGCCAGTGAGCGAAGCCGGCCATCCTGAGCGCAGAGCAGAGGGGAGTAGTAGCCAAGTGGATAGGAGACGATAACCTGCGCGACAGGGTCGCCGGCGTCGTGACTGGCTGGTCTTCTGCAGCGTTGCGCGTCGTCGCTCTGTACCTCCGCACAGAACCTGTCGCCATGGCCGCCATCTGCTCCGCTCAGGGAATCGCTACCGCGGCCTGTGCGCCGGCCTCCACCAGGTTCGTCATACTTCTCTCTCTCTCTCTCTCTCTCTCTCTCTCTCTCTCTCTCCCCACAGCTGCGACTACACGCACAACATGCCACTGATTGCTCTGTGTATGCAGTCGTGCATTCTAGCGCGCTGCACAATCGGACGCGTGCGCGCTGGCGTGCTGCTGCTATCGTCTTCAACTGCATGGAACGCCGGGTTGTCGTACTTGTGTTTTTGGGCAACTTTCAGTCCACATACAGGTGCAATAATGACCGGCGTTCTATTCGGGTGAAGACAGTAGTACGCTATGTTTCTTGCTTCATGGAAAGCGATGCCTTTGGCGCAGGATACGACATGCTCTGCCTGCTCATTGACACCTCGAGCACTTTCACTTGCCGTCAATCCTCTCTCTCTCTCTCTCTCTCTCTCTCTCTCTCTCTCTCTCTCTCTCTCTCTCTCTCTCTCTCTCTCTCTCTCTCTCTCTCTCTATATATATATATATATATATATATATATATATATATATCGTCAAATAGAACTGCCCGGTAAACCGTAGGCAGAGAGGGAGAAGAGGACAACAAACGAGGGGCTGTGACAAACTGTTTCGTCGTATATATATATATATATATATATTGTGACGATGTATATATATATATTGTGACGATATTTGACGATATATATCGTCAAACAGAACTGCCCGGTAAACCGTAGGTAGAGAGGGAGAAGAGGGCAAGAAACGAAGGGCTGTGACAGATTGCTTCGTCGGAGTTTGACCGGCTCATCACAGGCGTGCATTTTTGCGTGCATGCATGTGTGTCTGCTTTATCTGCATGGTTGTGCACACGTTCTTGTGCTGCAGGATAAAGTCGCACTCTCGTCTTCCCGCGAGTAGAACGCACGGTTTTTGTGGCTGTACCGGACCGGAAAGATAGATTGTGTGCATTCATTATCATGGTGCGTTACATTCGCGGGAGGGCGGTAGCACGTTCTCGCTGTTGTTTCTGTTTCCGGCAGAGTCCACACGTGATGTCTGTGGACTAAGAAAACAAGACAACAAAAAAGACTTTTCTTTTTTTTATTAAACAAAAAAAGACTTTTTTGCTTGCCGTGTGTGCGAGTTAGGAAGCGCGTGCTTGTGCGTCTGCGTGTGCTTCTGTGGGTGGATGTGGGAGGGTGGGTGTGCGTGTGTGTGCGCGCGCGCGCGCCTGAGTCAGAGTGCGTTCAGGTGTCGGAGAGTATGCGAGAAATAGAGGGAGAACATGCACGTGGTGACCACTAATGTGTCTATGCCTGTCGTACACGAGGATACACAGAAGGAAAAGGGAGAGAGAGAGAGAGAGAGAGAGAGAGAGAGAGAGAGAGAGAGAGAGAGAGAGAGAGAGAGAGAGAGAGAGAGAGAGAGAGGTGAACTCTTGCCCGCGCGGCATTGGAGGGAAATCCAGCCGGTGACGGAGAAGTTAGCGAAGTGCTTGTTAAGTAAAATTCGCACCTTGAAAAAAAAAGAAAAAAAGAGGAAAAAATGGAAAAAGAAGAATATATATCGTCACAAATAGAACTGCCCGGTAAACCGTAGGCAGAGAGAGAGAAGAGGACAACAAACGAGGGGTCCACCGGGCAGCTCTGTTTGACTATATATATATATATATATATATATATATAGGGAAACAGACATATTATATATCAACGCCGCTGGGTTCGTAGGTAGGTGCAAATGAAAGACCAATCGGTAATTCAACCCGCCCGAGAAGTGTTAGTCTTTTTTTTTTTTTTTTTTTTTTTTTTTT